TTTTTTATCAGAGTATACCAAATTCGTATCATCAGCAAACAAGTAAAATTTAAATACCTCAGATGATTTGTGAATATCATTTATGTAAATTAAGAAGAGTAAAGGCCCAAGGACTGAACCTTGTGGAACACCCAAGTTAACTGTATGTTTTGATGATATGTAACCACCAATTTGGGTTGTCTGTATTCTGTCAGTTAGGTAAGATCTAAACCAGTTGTTGATCACTCCACGGATTCCATAATGATGTAATTTATGTAAAAGTATAGAATGATCAACGGTATCAAAGGCTTTTTTTAGATCTATAAATATGCCACACGAAAATAGACCCTTGTCCAGATTGTTATGAATATTATTTATAATATCAATAATGGCATGCTGTGTTGAGTGTTTAGCTCGGAAGCCATATTGCTTATCATATAAAGTTTTGTTTTTATCGAAAATGTCTATTCAGTAATATGCAGCAGTACGGTCTCATAACATGGTAAGAACGAAACAATTTGTCGACGCGAGCTGCCAGGGCGATCTGACCAAGTTATGATGTGATGCTCTTACTGGACAGACAACGGGAAAATGTTTTCTAAGAATACACCTTTCCGGAAATTACTTAGCTTTGACTATAGGGCTTGTATTCTTGGATTCGTTTTCTCACTGGAAGTAAAACTAAAGTTTGAGCTTTAAGGTGCGTACGATACGACACCGCTGCTAAAAGTGAACACAACTTTCGAAAATTTTGTTCCTTTAGTATAGTTTGTATTTGATGTTTTCTCTATTTTGCTTTATTAGCTGACAATCGTCACGCCACTGTGAGAGTTGGAAAGTCTTGCCTGACAGGAAAGGTACAGTGTTGAGAGTGTCTTAAAGGCACAGTTCAGCCTTTTGAATGCACATTTCGGCTCTTTTAATTGAAAAAAATAACTAGGAAATTAAGCATAATTTATGATCAGCAGACTTAATGTTTTAAACATTTTAAAACATTTTTATGGTTAAAAACATCAAGAATTAATTTACTGATCTTGAATTATGTATAATTGTTTTCCTATAAGTTATAGTTAGTTTCCTACGGTTAGTATTTCAATGGACCATTTGCATTATAGACTAAATTTTGATCTAGACAAGTCTAGACAAAAATTTCATCACAGCTTGAAAGAGCATCACAAAATTAGTAATATGTATTCCAAAGTTTAGTTGCGAAATATTGTAAAATGCAGATAATATAGCACTGCGAAGTTTGCCGTTTTTCAGTCATTTTGTATTACGCACGGGAAATTGACAGCCCAATCGGGTGTTGGGGCATCAATTTTCCGTTTGTAATACAAAATGACTGAAAATTGCAAATTTCGCAAGGCTATATTATCCACAGTACAACATTTCGCAACGAAACTTTGGAATATTACTAATTTTGAGATGCTCTTTCAGGCTGTGATGAAATGTTTGTCTAGACCAAAATTTAGTCTATAATGCAAATGTCCATTAAAAGGGCCGAAATGCGCCTTAAAACCATCATTCAAAAGGCTGAACTGTGCTTTTAACATAGCCTGCTGTCACTGTTGGTGGTTGTCCCCAACCGTTGGAGTCAATGTGTGGCAGGCTAATTCTTTCAAACCTCATTATTAGTGGTCTCTCGTCGTCCTGAAATATGCCAGTGAATAATTAATGAAATCACACCAAGATGGCCGCCTGAAGTCTCATTATCTCGCGTTTAAAACCATCTAAAACTCGAGGGTGGGAAGCTACACTTTCAAGTTATGTAGAAGAATTTTTTATTATAACTAATTTTAAACAAAGAACGATTTTATTCATAAGATGCACATTTGAAAATTTCTTCTCATTATAAATATTCTGGCTTCAAAATGTATTCCCCGAATTTAAAAGGTTGCTCTATCCAGCAAGGTGTGGGGAATGTTGTTCAATGTCCCCCCACGATCACAATAAATCACAAACCAAAATAAAGCTTTAATGCTCAGAAATCTCAAAAAGTTGCTCACAAAAAAACACGATGCAGTACTCTTGCTAGAACTAAATCGTACCATTTACCTCCGGTACAGGTTACCCTAGCTATTTTCGACACACTCCCCTATTTTGTTCCGATAGGAACCAAATATTTCAACAATATCTCAGTTCTGTTCATAGACTACTGATTATGCATGTGTATTATAAACGTTCAATAACAACAACTATATTTAAAGTGTTCAGTCACTTTGTTCTTCTTCTTCAGCTATCTTTCGAATGTTCTCCTGAGCGGATATTGCTGCCTTTCTCTTGAGTGCAAACTCTTTCGCTTCCACGTTCCAGTTGGTCTTGGGTGGTTCCATGTCACACGACAATTCCAATGGATATAGAAACTGGATTGAATGCTCCAAGAATGATTTTCCTGCTCTGAGTTTGACCGCTCTGATCACACCGTCTCTTCCCTTGATCATTTGAACTACAACACCGAGTTTCCACTTGTTTCGATTTCTTTCCTTTCCTTTGATAATCACCACGTCTCCTTGTTTCAGCGTATGCTCTTTCTTTGGATGTTTCAAATTATGGCGTTCTCGCAACCCCCGAAGATACTCCGACGACCATCTCGACCACAAAGCGTCTTTGCATTTTTTAACATATCTTTCTCTCTTTCTAAGGCTTGCCTCATCAGTGCAATCGAAATCTTCCTCTGGGATTGTGTCAGGTTGACCAAACATCAAGTTATTAGGGGTTAGGATTGGCATTTGGATGTCATCCTCTACGTGACTCAACGGTCTGTTGTTCAACACCAGCTCGATGTCTAACAATACTTCTTGAAGTGCTTTCCATTGTACACAGGCTTTTCCAATGGACTTGATAACGCTTGTTTGACTAATCCTACCATCCGCTCAAACTGACCGCCCCACCACGGTGCACGAGATAGATTAAACTGCCAATCGATTCTTTGTTCTGCTAACCAGTTGTGAAAACGCTCTTCTTTCATCACCTCTCTCAGCCAGGTCGATGCAGCCACGAAGTTATGCCATTGTCCGAGTAGATCTTTCTAGGACGGCCCCTGCGAGCAATAAACTTCTTCAAACTATGGATAAATTCTGTTGTAGTTAGGTCTGGAAGTAACTCCAAATGGATAGCTCTCGACAGACTGCAGATATACAGAAGGATGTATGACTTCTGTTTTTGATTCTTCGCCGTACGGTAGGGAATAGGCCCGCGTAATCAACACCGATCATCTGCAATGCAGAGGATCCAACTGTTCGATCTGTCGGAAGATTTCCGGATGGAGGATTGACAACTGCTAGTGCCCGAAATCGTTTACAGCCATTACATTTCTTGTTCACCTTTCTTACCAACCGTCGTAACCGTGGTATCCAGTAAACCTCTCGCAGTTTAGTCATCGTAAGACCGACTCCCCAGTGCAAGGTGCGGATATGGGCGCCCATTACAAGCTTCTCGGTGAACATATCTTGATCCGGTCCGTCATTGTGTCTTTGAAGGTTTAACCGTAGCCGATCATCATGAAAGGTGTTGGTTGCTACATTCCTTCCTTGAACTCTTTTTACCCAAGATACTAGCTGCTTTTGAATTTTCTCCGACGTAATAGGACCCACTGTCTTCTCTCCATCATGGACTTTACTTTAGCATTAAACATGAACCTCGCCACCCATGCTCCATTTCGCAGTGTTTTCCAAAGCTCAAATTTCCTGAGAAGTTCGTCTAACGTATCATTTCCTGTCACGGCTAATGCGAATAATCCACGGGTTAACTTGGTTTCTGCTTTCGATTTATCGGTTTCAATAATCACGGGAGTGGGAGGCCAGTTCTCTTTCGCTCCAAGCCAGTCCGGTCCGTGTTGCCATAACTGCTTATCGTTGGATCTCAAACCTGCCCGACTCCCGATATCAGCTGGAATTTGAACCGTTGGTACGTGTCTCCACTTGCTTTTCTCACAGATCTTCCGCAGGCGATTTTGTACGAACTGTTTGTACTGCCCTTTCCCTTCGATCCAGTACAAAGCCACCGTGCTATCTAGCCATCCTGTCACTTCGGTGATAGGGAACCCTTCTAAGGCTGTTTTCACATTGTGACCATGTGACCCGATACGAACATGTGACCCGACACTAACTCCGTCCTTGGTATGGACAGTCCTTGTTTTGCTAAACGTGATTTTGCTGCAACCAATCCCTGCGTGTCTCCAGAAGGTTGCCTCACCACAGCATAGAGGGCTGTTGCCACTCCTTTGTTACTTGCATCTCCGAATGCATGCAGACAAATTTCTTGGATATCTTCTCGATTTCCTACAAGACTCCTAGGAACTTCAACACTGTCCGGAAGTTCGTTCTCCCACTTTTCCCATCGTTTTGCCAACGATTCATTCAGCGGTGCATCCCATCCAAACTTGCGGTCACAGGCTTCGCGGTACAATAGCTTGCTGGCTAATCTCCTCGGAAACACTAGTCGTAAAGGATCATATACTCTAGCTATTTTTGATAGTATGCCTCTTTTAGGCTTTTTCTGACGGGAAGGAAATGCTTATCGTGTCCTTATCTTTTTTCCAGTCGAGATTTACCATTCTCTTTAGTTGGGACCCCGAGTTGTTCCTTTGCGTGCGTAAGTTTCGTGTTCTTGCTTTGATGAGGATGGCGTTTCTAGCTCCTTGTCGTTTGACTGCCACTTATGCAGATCGAATGTGCCATTTTGAAAGATTTCAGTGGCCTTGTCTTTTAACTGTGATGCCTTCTCGGTTGTAGTAGCTCCACTAACATAGTCATCAACGTAAAGACTTTTGTTAATCAACCACAGCAGGGTGCTTCGGGTGCCAGCTTTCTAAGTGCTGTTGAATCACTCCCCCCAGGAGGAATGGAGATGGTGTCAAACCAAAGAGAGCTCTTGTAAATCGCAGAGTTTGTATTTCATTCATGTTGATATCTTTCAGCCAATGAAATCGGAGGACATCTCTATCACCGCTACTAACTCTCACTTGTAGGAACGCTTTACGCAAGTCTCCACTAAGGCAAATAGGCTGAAATCTTCCCCGAACTAGCACAGACCACAATTTATTCTGCAGAGGAGGACCGACTTCGAGACAGTTATTACGTGATGGTCACTCTTTCGATGGTCGTGCCGAGGCATCGTAAACGACCCGTAATTTGGTACTTTCTGCAGTCTCACGAAATACTCCCTTGTGTGGTATATAGAATTCTCTTCCTTCAGGACTCTCTGGTACAGGTTCCACTACTCCTTCATTCAACTGCTCCCTGATAATATTGTCATATTCTTCCAACTTCCCACTGTTCTTGAGCTTACTCACCAATGCCGTAGACGTCGTTGGCTGTTGGCCTCATTCGTACCAATTCACTTGGCAATTGGAAAGTAGTTTCCCTTCCAGGGGAGGCCAGATTCATACAAGCCTTCTGGACTTCTGTATAGTTGTTCTTTAAGTTCTTCATATACTGCTTCTTGATTTCCAACTGGGGTGTCGTTGGTGCCGTTGAATTTCGTGATCACTAACTTGGGGAGCTTCGCTGCACTGCTAACTGCACTGGTACTATTCTCGGGTGATGACCTCATGGAATTTTTCTTTATCTCGCTCATCTTCGCTTCAAATTCTAGCTTTTGTTTGAATCGACAAAGTTCCTCGTATTCCACCGAAGATGTTTGGGTCAGGAACATTTGAGATAAATCGACACCTTGTCCAGGTGATACTAGAATCCATCCGAATTTGGTTAGATCAGCCACAGGTTCTCCCGGTACACCAACTTTCTGTCTCGAGCTTGTCTTGATTTTTGCGTATTCCCCCACACCCAAAATGAGATGAATTGGGAGATGTTTTTTTGGATCATCATCCTCAATCACTACCCCGTCCAAATGCTGGTATTTCTCCAAAACTTCGTCATAATGTGGATTTGGTAACGACAACAATTGCTGTTTATCAATCTTTGTCACATCTGCTTCTAGACTAAAATCACCGTTCACCGATTGAATACCAATATGGAAAATGTCCACTTTCCTTGTAGTAGTCCCAAGTAGCATTTCAATGTCGCGAATATCTGATTTGGATGGTTCAGCTTTGATATGGTTTAGCAAATCTTCTGAGGCGTATGAGCTTCCTGCCCCTGTGTCCACCAGGGCTCGGCATTTAACCCCCTGAACTTCGACAATAACTACTGGATAAACAACTGCAGCATTTGTAAAGGGTGTGGCCAACAAAGGGTTTGATACTTTATTGCAAATGGATGTGTGGTGTCTTCTGCCACAGCTTGCACAGGTTGCCTTACTCTTACAGTCCACTGCTAAATGTTTAGAACCTGTACAATTGAAACACAGGTGCTTCTCTTGTAGAACTTTCCTTCTGTCCACTATCGAGACAATCTTGTCACAATCCTTTGATCGATGCTCTCCACTTTCGCAGTAAACACACACTCTTTTTACTTCACTTTGCCTTGCCTTAAATGCTTGGTCGCGTTGCCCAGTTGCTTTCCCTCCCCGATAAGTAAACTTGCTATCATTTTTGTTATCATGATCTTTGATTTGTAGAGGGTTTCTCTCAGTCCATTTTTTCAAGGCTTCAACTAATTTTGGGAAGTTCCATTCTTGCCAATTATCAGCACTTCGCACCAGCTCGCCCCGGATCCCTTCTAACTTATCGAGTGTAGTGCGAACGTACCCAGTAATTTCTTTCAGTTTCCCAAGTGTCTCGAGTGATTGAACATTATACACCAGAGATTCATAAAATTCATGCACTTTCCTTGGTTGGCTTCCAGTGATGACGGGTAGCCCCATAATGTTTTTCATGTAGGCATGCACTATTTCGCAGGGTCTACCATATTTGGTCTTAAGGACTGTTTTAGCACTTTCGTATCCCTCGGTCGAAAATGGGAGACCGTCTATACAGCTCCTTACCTTCGACTCCACCAATTCCTTTAAATATGAAAATGTTGTAATAGCAGCCGCTTTCGATTTATCTATTTCTGCTTCGAATTGGTTCCAAAACCTAAGCTAGCCTTGGTGTCATGGTGTGTGCCGTTGAATTTCGTGATCACTAACTTTGGGAGCTTCGCTGCACTGCTAACTGCACTGGTACTATACTCGGGTGATGACGTCATGGAATTTTTCTTTATCTCGCTCATCTTTGCTTCAAATTCTAGCTTTTGTTCGAATTGTTTACGCTCAAATGCTAATTGTTCTTGCCTCGTATGAAATGCCAGTTTGTTTTCCTCTTCCTGTTGTTGTGCTTTCTCTTGGAGAATTAAATCCGCTATAAGCTTGTTTAAATCCGTAATTTTTCCGTCGACTTCTTCAAATTGCTCTACGACCGGCTTTCGACATTTTCGTCGCTGTCGCCATTTGTTAATTTCGTTTCCTCAATATCTCATTTTAACTTTTGAATAGCATCTGACATCGAGTTCAACGCATCGCGATGACGTTTGAGCGCTGTTGTATTTCCCTTTTTCACAATATCGTCGGTTTTGCTTAACGTAAAACGTAAGGCTTTCACTTTGCCCGCCAATAAGCTGTCTAATTTCTCCATTTTGTTCGATATATTTGCCGCGTTTCTAGCCGAAACTACGAATTTCTATCCTGTATGGGGAATGTTGTTCGATGTCCCCCCACGATCACAATAAATCACAAACCAAAATAAAGTTTTAATGCTCACAAATCTCAAAAAGTCGCTCACAAAAAAACACAATGCAGTACTCTTCGTAGAACTAAATTTACATTTACTTCCGGTACAGGTTACCCTAGCTACTTTCGACACTAGCTTTGAGATCAATAGGGAAAACTTTAGATATGATCTTGAAGGAAATTTGAGACCCAACCCGCCCCCAAAAAACTCCCCACCTCCAGGTGAGTTTCCCGGTTAGCTGAGCTAATATGAGCAGGATCACCTCTTGCGAGGACACTACACCAGAGCTAATGTCGATATTGGTTGGCTTGTGAATGCAATTCTACCGGGCTGTGTATTCATTGTACTTATAAATGAGAGATTGAAAACATGTTTGTTATATAACTGTGATTTGTTTTTATTTTATAGTTGATGGATTTACCAACCATTGTGGAATCTTTTAAAACAGTTGATAAAAAGAGTTTTTATAAAACTGCAGATGTATGTCAGGTAAGTAAAGTGTTTAAAAATAAAGAACTAATATTTCGTGTTTTCTTGATGATAATTCTGAATTGTGAAATATTTCAGATGTTGGTGTGCACAGACGAAAGTGATGATCCAAACGTGGACGTGGAGGAAACATCGGAACAAACACCTCATAAGAAAGATAAGAAATTTGTTTTTAACCACGGCGGTGAGTTCATTGTATTGGTAACACTCTTTGAACGTATAGGCCACCGGTATAGGCTTTTCAGTGTGGCGCTCTCTACAATAGTCACGTGACGTTGTTGTTCTTGTTAATTGTTGTGATTACACTGCAAAACATTTTGACTCAAAGACTTGCAGTGACTCTAAATATTGGTTAAAATTACTCAAATTTATGAGCAAATATACAAATATTACAAACTAAATCTTTACTCAAACAATTGAGTACATCTGAAACTTTATACTCAAACAATTGAGTAATTTCCTCATAAATTTGAGTAATTTTACTCAATATTTAGAGTCGCTTTGGGGGCATTATATTACTCAAATCTTTGAGTCAAAATGGGCCATTCCATTTAATATACTGTAACCCCCCCCCCCCGTATAGAAGGGGCCCTAAATAATCCCCTTAGGGTATAAAAATTTTGTGTGCCCCCAGAGGATATCTTACTAACCCCTTTAGGATGTCGCTTTTTCCCTCTTGGATATCACTAAAACACCTAATTTTTGCCATTTTTTTTAAATCTCTTAAGCTACCCCAAAGGAAAATTAAAAATGAAGATCCCTCCTCCCCCGTTGTGGTGCAAATATTAAATGGAATGAGCCAATACTCAGGGATTTTTTGCAGTGATAGTATACCGTCATTCGTACAGTACAAATTATTAGACAGATTTAGATCGAGGACGCGGACATCGAAGACGACGTGATGGCGTCAAAATGGCGTGGCATTGACGTCCGCGTCCTCGATCTAAATCTGTCTATTATAAACGGTAAGCCCTTCACTCAATTCATTTTAGTGACACCACCATTAAAAAATGTACGAAAACGAAGATTTCGAAAAACAGCTAGGAAAAAGGTACATCTATATTTGATTATTGTGTATATTGTAAATATTGTAAATATTGTTAAAATCTCTAAAGGGTCCTCACTGCGTGCCCAAATGTAATCATGTGGAAAAGACTTATGTATGCCCTCAATTTTGCAAAACAGCTATTTGTATCTGGTTTTTTATATATATAGCTTCTTTGGGTACTTATAATGTAAAATAATGAAAAAAATTTCTCGAACTCAAATTTTGTGAACCAGGGGGGTGTGTCTTTTCCAACAAACTAAAAATGGCTTGCGCACAAAATTTAAAAGCTGCAATCATATTTTGAGTTAACAGATGGAAAATTTGTCGGGATTTTAATTACTGTACAAAATTTCAGACAATTTGGTTTAGTTTAAGCCCCTTAACTATTCACGCAAAGTTACAATTTTCCCGAAAAATCAGCTATTTGCATGCTTAATTATTAATGCATTTGCCTAATTTGCATATGTCAGCAATATGCAAATTAGGTAAAGGCATTAATTAAGCATGCGAAAGGCTGACTTTTTAGAACAAAATGAATAGTTAAAGGGCTTAAACTAAACCAAATTGTCTGAAATTTTGTACAGTAATTAAAAACCCGACAAACTTTCAATCTATCAACTCAAAATATTATTACAGCTTTTAAATTTTGTGCGCGAGCCATTTTTAGTTTGTTGGAAAAGACACCTCCCCCTGGTTCACAAAATTTGAGTTCGAGAAATTTTTTTCATTATTTTACATTATAAGTACCCAAAGAAGCTATGTATATAAAAAACCAGCTACAAATAGGTGTTTTGCGAAATTGAGAGCAATTTCAAATCAAAAAGTTTTTTTTTATACACCCTGTATAATAACTACAGTGGAAACATGCAATTTGATTAGTAATACCCGTGCAGGATCAGACGATCCTGCACAGAATACTTAAATGCCTTCGCGCGGGTTTTTAAAATTTGTGAAGTTAACAGTATATTAAACGGGAAGCAAGTTATCAAAAACGTTAATAAAGTTATAATAAAGTTAACCATTTAAATGAAGTTAACGTAACAATAACTTAACCGTTGTCTCACTGTTGTTATTTTATAAAACAATTACCAAATGGTTTTCCAGATGCCATGCATGCACTTGGGATATTGCTCGAGTTTCGGAAAGCGCAAGAAAAAACACTCGAATTTATATTTACAAAACCCATCTATACAATTTGTTATATCGAGTGTAGATGCACAAAATCCTACAAACACTCGCCTGCGGCCCGTTTTTACGCTTTCCGAAAGTCTCGCAAGATCCCGCGTGTATGGAAGACGCTATCCTGCATGAAAACCATTTGGTATTCCTTTATTCTAACATCAATATCTTCTAGCATCAAGAATGTCCCGAGGTTGAGAAAGAATTAAAAAGATTGTTAAGAGCGGATGTCCAAGCATCAAATGTCAGTATCCTTTTACTGGAATATTTAGACACGTTGTTTCCCATAGTCATGTTTCCCGAAAGTGGTCAAACTTACCATATATGGAGTAGTTATTAACTGGCCGTGTTTCTAGAATATTTAAAAAAGTGAAACAAAGAGATATTGGATATTGCGTCGCAATTATGTATCCAAGGGCGGAAAACGGAAAACATTAGAGGAAATACTGTCACAGAGTTATTGTGTGAAACAGGACTTATTAGAGAAAATTCTTTCACAGAGTTATTGTGTGAAACAGGACTTATTAGAGAAAATTCTGTCACAGAGTTATTGTGTGAAACAGGACTTATTTGGACATAAATTATCTGTGACACAGAGTGGGTGGGTGCCTGGTATAGTTATCATTATACAGTCGTTCGAATCTCTCGTACTGTGTTGGAAAATTTCCAATTTTTAACAAAATAACTTTGCAAGAAATTTTCTTATTGTCGTATGTTCCATATAATTTACTTATGGTCTAAAAATTTCCGAAAGCGTTTTTCGAGATTGTTTTGTGCCGTGACGTTTATTACACTGTGCGCCACCATACGTTCTCTAATTCTTATATTTGATTTGTACAGGTAATTTTTATTTCTGCCAGGAAAAGAAATATATTTCCTAGGCCTGCTCTTGTATCAATGAACACTCTGTACAACGGACATTATGTTCCAGGGTTCGGCTATTTTATGTTCAGGCCCCGATTGTTTTTACTTAAAATCTTTATTATTGTCCGAAGCCTTAGGGGCGGCGTTGAACGGGAGGGGGGAAATCAGGGGTGGGGCAAAAATTTGCCCGATCTTGATGAAATTGCCCGATCAAGATCTGGACCAGTTTTCACGAAATTTTATCAACACGAACCTCTAACATTATGTCAACGTTTGTCCATGCGATGACTTAACTCGTTATAGCATTTGAAGTTTTAGCAGATGAGGAGAAAAATGAAGAAAACCCGAGGTAAACTATTCTACCTTGTTTTTACTATAACGTAAACGATAGTTGCTACCCAGGGGAAGATAATGATAATTATTTAAATAATAATAATTAACTGCGTTGCGTGGCTGATGTAAACATTGAAGACAAAAAAATGAAAATATAAAAATGATTGAAATGTTTATGACAAATGTTCTGCTTCTTGCAATGTCGTTATATACTAACTAAACCACAAGGTGACTGTAGTCTTAATTAAACGGATTTAACTTCTTTTTCTTTTAAATTCCGTATTATTGTATAGGCATACGATTGTTTCAAGAAATGTGTGCGCAAACATTGGTCCACAATATCCCACGTTTACCATTTCTTTATATGATCCAATAAACCACTCACAATAAATTCTTCACTGTCAGATAACTGCGAATATATCCATTCATTGTTTACCGTTCATTACGCTTTCTCGAATGAATCTGACTGTCCAATAATAACTTTCTTTTCTTTTCTTTTCTTTTCTTAGTTTGATGTCGTCACCACTAGGTCACCATGGTGACGAGATAGATCACTTGGCATTCTTACAAGAACCAATGAGCGACGAGGAAGATGAGTTAGATGTTGAAAATATTCAGAAAGATACTGCGTCATCAAGTCAACGTTCTACTGCCTCCGCTGTTGGAGAAAGTCAAAACACTTCACTGTTTAAAGAAGGGCAATTTAAGACTCAAACAATTTCAAGTAAGTTTGAAATTGGTTTGCTTCGAGGTATTTTATGCATCTAGGGTAATGGCATGTTTTATACTTTATGCTGCTGTTTGTGCATGTTAGTAGTTACATTCTGCCAGGTGATAGGGACAATTGCTGGAAAATAATGTTGTGAAACTTATAGAAGAGATTGATTTTAATTAAGAAACATTAAAATCTGAAACATGTTACTACATATAGATGTGACCTTTTGTTAGTTCCATGAAAACAAAATTTTAAGCTAGTAATTAAGAGTTATGTTACTTCCAAGAATAACTGGCCATATAAACATTCCTTGGCGCGTACTGGATCTCCATGACTACATAACCCAGCATGATTAGTTGAAACAGAACTTATATAGATCCATCAAATTTTAATGTGAGTACATTAAATCTCGAACGATAGATAGCAGTACACAGGTAGAGACGACAACAGACAGCGCGGTGTGAAGAATGTACAACTACAGACAACAACAGACAGCGCGGTGTGAAGAATGTACAACTACAGACAACAACAGGCAAGGCGGTGTGAACAATGTATAAATACCTGATAAATAATAAAATATATATGTAGAACATCGACGTTTCGAGTGCAGGCCTTCATCGGGACTAAGCCCTTCCAAATTCTGCTTATATTGTACAGGTCATTGTATATTATTCACACCGCAGTAGCTGTACATTAGTTCAATCTAGATATAAAACGTTTGATGAATTTCACGCCAGTCGCCAGACACTCGATCTGAAAGAGAAAAAATTCTCGACGTTTCGAGCCTTCGTCAGGAAAGTTGTAAATGAAACGAAGCAAAAAAAAAGTTTTTATTTTACTACACACTGCTTTTCTCGGAAATCCATGTGATTAAAATAAAGATTTACTGTCGCTATAATTTGTTACTTAGCAACAATATCTCAACCTTCTGACGGACTGGATGATGGTGAAGAACTCAGAAAAAAGATTGAAGCACAAAAGGCTCGGATAGAAAACGCAGAAAATCCATTCCTTAAGGTTTTTGAAGTTCTTTTGTTGTTTATTTCCGAACTGCCCAATTAGTCCAGTCAATCTGTGACCAGAGGTCAAAGAAATTGCAATAGAATTTTTCTCAGTGGTAAAATGTGAGGGAAGGTGTCCTGATTAACATACTAAAAATAAAAAAAAATCCCTTCGGTGGAACATGGTGAAAATCGAGTTTCTCTTACTTCTACCTATAGAAAACCATTGTGGACAGAATGTTCAAATTTTGAAAGCATTTTTAGGAAAATGTAACCTACATTATTGGAAAGCTTAAACAAAACTATATAAAGGTCAATTAAGCCGTTATATTCAATTTACTGGTCAGTTTGTCGTTATTCTAGCTCAAAGTTGAAAAAATAGCGCAAAATTTGCACAAAATACAAATTTATGGCATTTTAAATCTTGTATAACTTCGGCTGGATAGGCAAAAGCAAGGTAACCGTTTAATGATCTATATTCTAGTTTTTTCTAAGCTTTCCAATGGTTATATTTGCAAAAAAATAATTTCAAAATTTCAACATTTTGTCCGCAATGGCCGTTCTATAGGTAGAAGTAAGAAAAACTTGATTTTCACCATGTTCCACCGAAGGGATTTTTTTGGATTTTTAATATGTTAATCAGAACAACTTTTCACACACTTTACCACTGAAAAAAATCTATCAGTGCAATTACTTTGATCAGGACCATGTACTTATAGTGATTTGACTGGACTAAATATTTCCCATGCCAAAGACGACAAGGTGTATGTGTTATAGGGGTCTCCATAGTTATCAACATTTTCACAAGCATACAGAGAGTATCCCCTCTTTCCATCTCCCTTCCCACCCTGAATGTACAATGGAATGTAGTCGTAAATTGTTGAATCTCATAATCAACATTTTAAAAAGCGTACATCAGCATTGTTTGCACGCCTGTGAAAATGTTAATAATTATGGATGACCCCTACAAGTAATTAATTAGTTTAATTGCTGGCTACTTGATTTCAGTTGTGCCAATATATATGGCTAATGCGTACTTTAATTGTTATACAATTTCTTGTTTTGCTATAATTTTATGCATGTTATAATTTATTTAATACTGCGTGGTACATAAATACAAATATTCGTACGGCTTTCGAGTATATGATGAGCTACGTTGCGACTGACGATTAGTTAGATCACCCATGATGCAGGTCAGGGGCTTCTTTAGCCTGCGTGTAGCCTCGACCCTATTTTTTCAGATATCTACTTGAATCCCGGCCGAAACGTCAAAGTCTCTTTTTTCCTTGAGCAAGATTAATATCTTTCTTTTGTATCTTTATAAAACAAAGAATACATTCGAGCGATTCATTTCCCTTTTAGCATAAATTGTCACTAAACATGAATATTTAGCGACTGACTAATCACAGACGTTCCCCATTTTTCAGAGGAAATCCACGTGCTTTCTCTCCGGATGCGCAGACCCAAGTAGAAGACTCAAGTATATAACTATATATTCTCACTGCTCGCTTCCCCCGTACTATACCTTTAACTGAAGGAATAGTAAGATTGGGACTATAATTAGTTTTCAGCCAAAGGTAGAGTGCCGCGAAGCTAGCGCCAGAAGTGTCACAGCCGAGGGGAGGTGGGTGGTTCCCAAAACCGATTTCAGCACCGTCCTTCCTTTTCAATGGCAACTAATCATCATGATCAACTAATCATCTCGTGTATAGATATTCAAATTATATGGTATTGCTGTATACCGCGTTGAAGCTGCACGCAGGCTCGGTCTTTTTCAGCCGTGATAGTACGTCAAAAGTACGGATTTCACAAGAAAAACTTCTATTTGTACATTCTAAAATTGCATCCCTTATCCATGTTATACTAATCAATGAACAATCATTCAGTAAGCTTGAAATCACTGTATTCGTTGGCGCTATTCAGATTGCATTGTTGCAACGTTCGCGATCGTGAATATAATTTGTTCAGGGATTGAATTTCTTTTACTTAAACGAGGAGCAAAAATATAGTTGTCTTTTTTCTTCTTAATTTAGCAACGATTTCAAAGTACACTTGAAAAACTTGAACAACAACTCAAGGAGCAAGAAAGTAAAGATGTAGCGTCTGTGTGACCCCCATGGTGTATTGCAAGCATTGCTGACTTCCACGCAGCGTTTTACAGAACAACAGGTGCTGGTCAGAACACTATTGCATGTGTCTTCTGCCTCCCTCTACCGTTACACGATACCGAATTCGCTTTTTATACCACATCAACATATGCCGTTCAGGAGTAATATCTGCTCACAAAATTTTCCCTTTTATCATTTTATTTTGTCATATCGCAATTTTAAGTGTTAAGATCAGATGTCCCTGGAGCCGCTAACTTCGATGTCGTGACAAGCGAAATCACTATCGTGTTGTGGCCTATGACATAAACTATTGGGAAAATGAAAAACATAACTAACATAACAAGTTTTCGTTGGTAGGGATGCCTGGAAACACGTGCTGCATGAAAAATACAGAGCGAAATTCGACGTTTCCAGCGAAGGCCCTTCGTGGGAAGTTCATGAAAGTTAGTGCTTCCCGCCGAATCTCGAAACATCGGATTTCGCTTTGTATTTTCCAGGTAGTTGCATCCCTAACCACGAAAGCTCGTTCATTTGATTGGCACTACCTACACTAAGCAAAGACACTTCAAGATTATATCATATATAAGTAAAATAATCTATCCTGTAGAGTATAGATAACATAAACTAGTAAGATATATACCAATAAGTAACATTTCAATTGACATGACTTGATAATATATATATATATATATATATATATATATATATATATATATATATATATATATATATATATATCACAAGTTTTTTAACGTATAGTGAAGAGAGTGCTCAATACATAAAATTATGTAGAGCGAATGTAATTACTATTCTTACTTAAAATGTTTTTTTTGTCTCTACTCCGAGTTTCACGCATCGCTGCGATCATCAGGAGACATTGTTCTCAATTAAATACCGTTTGATTTTCGTTGTTTGATGGCGTGACTGCGCGTGCGCGCGAGGATTGTTGATGTTGCTTACACGCGCGCAGACTACATTTCCCGCTAAAAATTGTTTCTGGTGCACGCACTTCGAGAAGATTTCCGATCTTTTGTTGAGTAGATTTTGGTCGCGAGATTTTAAAATCAGCAGCTTCTCTTGCAAGCATAGGTTGCATCTTGGTCTTCCGCTTGTGTATGGGACAGCCTTCTTCAGAATGGACCAAGTGGTGTTGTAAGGTCTTCCGCTTCTCTTCAATTTCCAAATATGCTTCGATAGCTCCGTTTCGTTCGCGTATCTCTGAAGCTCGAATGATTTTTTATGGTTTCTGTACCTGTCTTTGAATTCCCCAGCTGTTACCCCAATATACCGCTTCGTTTCACCGTTGTCATGACTCTTTACCTCGGCTTGGTACACGATAGCTTGGGTCAGACATTTCTTTTGGAGGGGGCATTCATCTTTCCTGCGGCAGTTACAGTTAATTTCGTCTGTTGCCGTGGGTTCGGTCGATCTAGTTCTCGTGTTGTGGTTAGAAATGGTTGTTTTGACATTCTTCATGCAGCTGTAACTAATTTTGATTGAATTGCGGTTAAAGACCTTATGTAGACGACTTGATTTAGGGAAATGTTTGTCGATAAGTTGAAGAAAGGTTTTACCAATGTTTGTTACTACGTTTTTGCTGTAAGGGGGGTTAAACCACAGTATGTTTCTGTGTCTTTTGCGTTTCGGCTGGCTGGACGTACAACTCTCAGTGTTGGGGTCGTCAATATTACTTGAAGGCGTGGTATTGTATTGTAAATTAAAATCATAATTACTACGACGTAATGCATTCTCGTAGGTTGGTGCTGATGAATTGAAGGTTTGCTGATCAGAGGATAAATTTGATATACGGTGATTTATTGATTTAGGTAGTTGTTTAATTATGGCTGGTGGGTGGTTCGAGCGACTGTCAATGTAAATGGGTTCATTATTGGGTTTTCTATATGGTTGGTAGCGTTCCTCTGCAAGGTTGAATGTGACGTCTAGAAAGTTGACAGATTGGTGGTTTACTTGGGCCGTAATTTTCAAGTTGAACTGTTCGAATAATGTATGCAACTTTTTCCGTACCTTATCAGCAATGCGCCCGCTCTTTCCTTTGGTTAAAACAAGTCCGTCATCCCGATACAAACCAACACGTTCTTTCCCAAACTCATTGGTAAGGACATTTAGCATATATAAGCCGACAAGATCACATATTTCAGCGCCGTCATAACTGCCCATCGTTACATCAAAAAGAGATTTAGAGTTTTGTTTAATCCATGTATCGTTGTTGCTGAACAGAAATGAACAGAAACCTTTCTTCAACTTATCGACAAACATTTCCCTAAATCAAGTCGTCTACATAAGGTCTTTAACCGCAATTCAATCAAAATTAGTTACAGCTGCATGAAGAATGTCAAAACAACCATTTCTAACCACAACACGAGAACTAGATCGACCGAACCCACGGCAACAGACGAAATTAACTGTAACTGCCGCAGGAAAGATGAATGCCCCCTCCAAAAGAAATGTCTGACCCAAGCTATCGTGTACCAAGCCGAGGTAAAGAGTCATGACAACGGTGAAACGAATCGGTATATTGGGGTAACAGCTGGGGAATTCAAAGACAGGTACAGAAACCATAAAAAATCATTCGAGCTTCAGAGATACGCGAACGAAACGGAGCTATCGAAGCATATTTGGAAATTGAAGAGAAGCGGAAGACCTTACAACACCACTTGGTCCATTCTGAAGAAGGCTGTCCCATACACAAGCGGAAGACCAAGATGCAACCTATGCTTGCAAGAGAAGCTGCTGATTTTAAAATCTCGCGACCAAAATCTACTCAACAAAAGATCGGAAATCTTCTCGAAGTGCGTGCACCAGAAACAATTTTTAGCGGGAAATGTAGTCTGCGCGCGTGTAAGCAACATCAACAATCCTCGCGCGCACGCGCAGTCACGCCATCAAACAACGAAAATCAAACGGTATTTAATTGAGAACAATGTCTCCTGATGATCGCAGCGATGCGTGAAACTCGGAGTAGAGACAAAAAAACATTTTAAGTAAGAATAGTAATTATATATATATATATATATATATATATATATATATATATATATATATATATATATATATATATATATATATATATATATATATATATATATATATATATATATATATATATATATATATATAACTTGCTTGGTTGTTGAAGCCAAAACGAGTACAGTGCTCGATGCGGGAAATTCGCAGAGCTTAATATGGTGTTCAAAATGAAAAAAATGAAAAATAAAAAATTTAAAAAAATTTAATATATATATATATATATATATGTAACAAACAGAACGGCTACGTTTGAAGAAGTTTATTAAAAAAAGGTATATTAAATACAAAAACTAAATTTTCGGCTGCATGCCACAGCCTTCTTCAGAGGAAGAATTTAATATTATTCTTCAGAGGAAGAATTTAATTGTATTTAATATACCTTTTTTTAATAAACTTCTTCAAACGTAGCTGTTCTGTTTGTTACATATGAAGTCTTGTCGGCTGAGCAGAGTACTGGCATTTGTCACATATATATATATATATATAATTTAATTTCTTAACTTAAAATATAGTCACAACTCTGAGTTTCACGCTCAATGCGATCTTCAGGCGACAATGTTTAAATCTCAATAAAAAAATTCCTGTATGATTACGTGCGAGTTCGTTAGGCTACTTGCGTGATGGTATTGCGTGCGCACGTTCAAATTTTCCCGCCAAGAATTGTTTCCGGTGGCAACACTTCGAGAATAGCTCACATCTCCTGTTCAGCAATCTTTTCTTATCACCTTTCAAAATTTCGAGTTTCTCTTGGAGGCATAGGTTGCAACTTTTTGCGCCGCTGCGATAAGATGATGTTTGCTTCAGAATGGACCACTTGATGTTGAATGTACGTTTCTTGTTTTTCAAGTTCCAAATGTGTTTGGACAGCTCAGTGGATTTTACATAGCTCGTATCTTTGAATGATGTCTTGTGGTTGTAATAACGTTTCTTGAACGTGTTTGATGTCATCCCAATATAATCTCGAATTACTCCTGTGTCGTCCGTAACCTCGGCTTTATAAACAACGCTCTTTGTAAGGCAATTATTGTTTAAGGGACATTCAGTGCTTTCTATGCAGTTACAGTGGTCTTTGGTAGATGCTACAACAACAGTTTTATTCTTTAAAAGTGTACCGAGGTTATGTTTGGAGATGACGCTTTTACAGTTATCCATGCAACTGTAGCTTACTTTGACCGAGTTTCTGTTAAAGATCTTGTGTAGTGGGTTAGACGCAGGGAAATGTTTGTCAATCAGGTTTAGAAAGTTTCTACCAACATTTATATATATATATATATATATATATATATATATATATATATATATATATATATATATATATATATATATATATATATATATATATATATATATATATATATATATATATGTATATATATATATATATATATATATAGCTTAAGATTTTGGTTTACGAAACACAAACAGTGCTCAATACCATATAGATAGAGCGTAATATAGTTTTTCGTTTTACCACAAAAAACCACAACAGTCTGTTTCATCCGTATAGGAATGATGATTGCTATACGGATGAAACAGACTGTTGTGGTTTTTTGAGGTAAAACGAAAAACTATATATATATATATATATATATATATATATATATATATATATATATATATATATATATATATATATATATATATATATATATATATATATGTCTTTGTTTTTTT